GGTTGGGGGCGGGGAGGGGAGGGGGGTGTCCGGCCCGGCAGCCACTCCGACCGGAGGCGGGATTCGCCTTAGTTCCACACTCCGAGTAAAACTCGGCAAAAGACGTCCGCCTGTGTGCCCGCGCAGCCTTCGTGTGCCCGCGAACGCCGAGGCGGCTCCGGTCTCGGCGCTTATTCGGAGCCCAGCGGCGCGTTCGGCCTCTGCTGGAAGACTTTTCGGCTGGCCGAGGGCGGTGTGGAGCGCCGCGGCAATGCTGGGACGACGGACGAAGACGACGAGGAGGAACGCGCACTGACCGGATTGGAAGTTGATTCCAGCCCAGAGCGACGCCTCGGCTCGGCTTTTTTTTTTGGAAACTCTCCGGCGCAAGAGTGTGACTGCGGAGAGAGAAAATGCCTGTGAAAAGCAAATACAACCTGGTCGATGATGGGCACGATTTGAGGATCCCGCTCCACAACGAGGAAGCCTTCCAACATGGAATCAGCTTCGAGGCAAAGGTATGCCCCTCCCCCCCCCCCCCCCACCCCCAAAGAAAAAGTTACATTACTTGCACTGAAGTCTAATTGCAGCTCCCCTGTTCTTTCAACCCAAATGAGCTTACTTTTGTTCTTGTGCAATTAGCGTTTTTTTTTTTGTCCAACCCGCATCGAGCAGCAGCGTTCCTGTACTCGGCTCATACGTTGGAAAACAGCGCGAATACATTGAATGGCGAGAATGCGATTTACACAAGCGCCGGCAAAAGGGATTATTTAACTTGTGGGCAAATGCCTTGTATCGAGTTGACGTGGCGCCGGTGCTACTGTTTAAGTTTGCCACGCCGAAAGCAAGAATAAGCGCACGGTATAAAAGTAGACGTCAGGTGTGTCAAAGTCATTTTTGTCGCGGGCCACATCGTAGTTACGGTTTCGCTTGGAGGGACGTTATGAATTTGGGGAAACCTTATCAATGTTTAATCCCCTCCACATATGACATACACAGCGCATAACAAATTGACGAATAACTAGTTTTAAAATCAGAAGTCAAGAATAATGACTGTTATTGTGAATTACATATCCCAATTTGAAATTTTGCCACAGACTTTAGCAAGCATCATGGAACTTGACATGCTTGATTTGCTTTCGTGGGGCAACATGCAATGAGGTGGTGGGCCAGATCTGGCCCCCGGGCCTTGACTTTGACACCTGTGGTATACGGGCTGAAAGGAGATTTGATGATTAATCTGCTCCGTTTCGATTTTTGACGCCAGTACATCGGCAGCCTCGACGTGACGCGACCGAGCAGTCGAGTGGAGATCGTGGCTGCGATGAGAAGAATCAGGGTAAGTCGACTCCGTCAGACGCTTGGAAATTCACTGCACTTTCTCTCTCAACTCGTGCTGCCTCTGGGAATAACACTTGGTGTTGTGTGTGTGTGTGTGTATGTATCGTGCAGTGGCATTTTGTCTGCATCAAAAGTTGCGAATAACGAGTTTGACAAACCAACGGGGAAGACATGCGCTCACGAGAAGTAGCGTTATGGAATATGTTGTACTTGTGAGTGCAAATATGCAGAATTAAAACTCCATCGGTGGCTGGTGGATGTGCTTCCCTCCATCGCCGTTTTCGAGCATTCCTTTGAAGCGGTGCACTGAAGTGCGATGTCTCCTGACCCCCAGCTGTGCAAACTCAAGATTTACAGCTTTTTCTCCAGACTGCGCTGAATGAGTGCCTGCGTGCCAACTTGGCAACGTTTGACTTTGCATCGTTTAATTGGATTGGTTGCCAGTGCTGTGGGGCTGTCTGACACTCGTTTTCAAAAGAATTGGATGTGATTTGTTGCTGCTTTGTGTACACCATAAAACGCGCACATTGTCATGCTCACATCATTTTTCAGCATTTTATCGTCTGACCCTTTATAGGGTTTGAGTTTTCAGAAGTCACTAAAGAGACAAAAACAAGCCGTTTATAGCCCCCCCCGGTTCAAATCGACAGTAATTCAGTTGACCTTGTGATGTGTGTCCTGTCATGATCTTGTCTGGTGAAGTGCATTCCGACACATCATCCGCACTCGAACGCGTGCATTCATGCACGACCCCGGGTAAAAGGCTCCAAATGTTCTTTACGCCTTTTTTCGAATATTGCCCGGCACCTCTGAAGCGGACCTCCCAGTGTGCTGCCATGGCAGCTGTTGTCGGCAGGAAAAGGAGCTTTGGTTTGGCTCGCTCCAGTGTGAAAATGGTCCGACGCTGGCCTGAAAACACAATTGAAGGAAACCACAGGAATTTAACTCTGGAAGGAAGATGGACTGGAAATTGAAGCGGCAATTGACTTTAAAAAAAATATATATATATA